TATGAATGTGTGTGTAGTAGAGTGTTGTATGAATGTGTGTGTAGTAGAGTGCTGTATGAATGTATATTTACTTTGTAGTAGAATGTTGATTGAATGTGTGTGTAGTAGAGTGATGTATGAATGTATGTTTACTTTGTAGTAGAATGTTGATTGAATGTGTGTGTAGTAGAGTGCTGTATGAATGTGTGTGTAGTAGTGTTGTATGAATGTGTGTGTGGTAGGGTGATGCATGAATGTGTATGTAGTAGTGTTGTATGAATGTGTGTGTAGTAGGGTGTGTATGATTGTGTGTAGTAGAGTGCTGTATGAATGTGTGTGTAGTAGAAGGCTGTATGAATGTGTGTGTAGTAGAGTGTTGTATGAATGTGTTTAGTTCAGGGATGTATGGATGTGTGTGTAATTGAGTGTTGTATGAATGTGTGTAGTAGAGTGTTGTATGGATGTGTGTGTAGTAAAGTGTTGTATGAATATGTGTAGAAGAGTGTTATATGAATGTGTGTAGTACAGTGTTATATGAATGTGTGTGTGTAGTAGAGTGTTGTATGAATGTGTGTAATAGAGTGTTTAATGAATGTGTGTAGTAGAGTGTTGTATGAATGTGTGTGTAGTAGAGTGTTGTATGAATGTGTGTGTAGTAGAGTGTTGAATGTGTGTGTAGTAGAGTGTTGAATGTGTGTGTGTAGTAGAGTGTTGTATGAATGTGTGTGTAGTAGAGTGTTGTATGAATGAGTGTGGGGAGGTAATGAGGTCACAGATTGAGCTGTAAAGCACTTTGAGAATCTTGATTAGATTGAAATACTCTATATATGTACAATCCATTTACTTTAGTGTGTGGCTACCTGTACATCTAAACATAAGAAAGGTCACCATCAAAAATTGGTTTGCCACGTCAAAATCCAAGATGGCCACAGCCATATGTAAACTGGACACCCTTATCATTTGAGAAAATTATGCTTTCTAGGTTTTATATTGCTTTACAGTATAGTTTCCTCAAATGATTGGGGTGGCTGACAATTTAGATGTGTTGTCCAAGGCCACCATTGAACACCCCCTGGCTCCTCCACTGCACCTGGTGGTGATAAAATGTCTCCACTCACCAAGATCCGTCACTCTGAGTTGCTTCGGACAAGACAAGACAACTTCTCCACAGTGTAACTCCCACTTGAATATCTTGCACCAAAAACATTTAGGTTTACTTGCATAACTACAAACATTCACTATTCAGACCTCAGATGGGGGACATTGACTGCTTGTTATTTATGTGACTAGATAAGAACAAACTTATGTTTGTGTGCATCTTGTGCCTGCAGGGAGCTATGGGTGAAGCCATGTCTCGCAGGATCAGGGGTGTGTTTAATGCTGCTAACTTCTGGGCCATTGTCCTCTACAACGTTCTCTCCCTGAACAGTTTGGAGTTTGCTAAACTGGTTGGTAGAAGACTGATCTTCAAAGGTGGGTTACCAAAAAGTCAGACCGAAGTGGCCATTCACGTCAGTATTTGTGGTCAAACATTTAATTGGTATTTGCACTGCATTTTTCTGCTTTAGGTTTCCCTCTGTCCACGCTGTCGGTGCTGCTGGTGACCTACTGTGGTGTGCAACTGGTGAAGGAAAGAGAGCGACAACAAGCCCTGCTGGTCGATCCAGAGCCCGTGAAGCCAGAGGATGGAGGCAAAGAAAAAGCTGAATAATCACACAGAACAACTTTTTTTTAAATCCTAGAGGTATTTGGACTTTATGACAGCCTGCACATGGTTCTGGTTTCAGTGTTACCAGCTGTAACTGAACCAGACTGTGACAACCCCCCCATGGTCCTCACGTGGAGGTGGCTTTGCTCGTCAGAAACAATCAGCAGTATTTTGGACTGCAAAGTAACCAAGTGCACTTGCTGCAGATAATCACATCTTTTAGCACAAATTCACTAATGATGCATTTGTATTTATACTTTATTCAAACAAATTATTATTAAGCAGACTGCAAGCCTTAAAATAAGGACAGTATTGAGAATACCGGTAATTAAAAAAAAAACATTATTGCTGTGAATGAACAACGAGTTTGCTGTGTGGCTGTACTCTTGTTTATTCTTGTTCTGCCTCAAATGTGAACATTCTTGCCTTCAGTCACTGTCGCTGTTCACTGACTTTGATCGGTTGTTGTCTTTATTTTATTTCAGATGCTTTACAGTCTGTTGTTGCAGTTCTTAGTCACACTGAACGGAGTAAAACTTGAAAAAGCTCTACAGGCAGAGTGCAATAAAGAAAACAAAGGGTGCTGTTCTTCCACAAAGCTTGCAGCTGATTGCATATAATATGTACATACAGTATGTACATATATACATATATATATATATGTATATATATATATATATATATATATGAATATATACAGTGTATGTATACAGTGTATACATACACATCATATTTTCTGGAGTGTAAGTCGCAGTTTTTTGCATAGATTTGTCAGTCCTGCGACTTGTACGCCAAAGCGACTTATATACTTTTTTTTTCATATTCATAATGCATTTTTTGTCTGATGCTTTAAATTTCGAAGAACTGCAACAGTGAGTTCTCCCGTGAATGCTCACTTCACTCAGCTGGTGCAGGTGGAGGAACGCTGGAGAACTAGAGGCTCTGGCTGTGATGGAAGGATGGATGGCGCCGCCCAGGCGAAATGAAGCTGTTTTAACCATTAAATAAATGCATAATAAATGCGACTTATACACCAAAGCAAATTATATATGTTTTTTTCCTCTTCATGATGCTTTTTTGACCGATGCGACTGAGGCTTCTGATGCGACTTATACTCCGGGGCGACT